CCCCAAAACCCCAAAACCCCAAAACCCCTTTTTGGGTCTCTATATTGTAATTTTAGTATAAAAATGGCAATAAGGTTCATCTTTGCGATCCTAGCACTTCTGATAGTGTCAGTCTGAGCTGAAGAGGCAGACCCGACCACAGAGCAAACGGGGAATACTACTGAATGTAAGGTAGTTTGTAGAGAAAATGAATGAGGCTAAGAATTGGGTTGAATAGATATGTTAGAAAATTTATTTTGAGTTTTTAAAGGGAAGTTGGATGATAGCTTTCTTTATAGCTAATGAAGACCTTGAAAAAGAGACAGAAGAGATAGTCAGAGGGATCATGGATGCATTTCAAGGTAGTATAATGGGTTCATTGGCTGATGAGATCGATGAAGACGGGGAAAAAGTTATAGTACAGCAAGAAGAAAAAATTGTAGACGCGAATGGAAATGTTAAAATTAAGCAAAGAACTCTTCAAAATCCTTCAAAAGAAGAACTTGAAACAAAGACTTTAGAAGAGTTGGAAGACGACGAAGATGATCCTGTACTTCTGCTTCTAATTATTATAGACTATAACTACAATACAAACAATAAGGCTTAACCTTAACGACAACGACTTGTCTCATCATACTTTCTCCACTTTCGGATTAACCGATCCTAAAGATGTGAGCAATACTTGGCTTGGCCAAGACCAAACAGTCACGGGATATGTTAAATCTTTCTTCTGGTTCTTAATAAAAGTACTAACAATACTAGGTAAGATTAATTTGTAATAACCAAAGTATTCTGTTTGGATAAAGCCTATCACAACTTTAATATTAACCTTTTTATATAGCAATTGGGCTGGCAATTTTTAAACTCTTCAGACTAGAAAACAAACTGAAAAACTTTGGCTTCAGGTTCGAAATTGCTTTTATACTCTAATTCATTAGCATGAGCTTTTTCTTTTATAAAATACTCTCAATTCCAAAATTTGCCAAAATATTTTGAAACAATCCTTTATACACCAAATTTTCTTCCAAACTTTAACAGAACAAATAAAAAATATCTTGTTTAAAATCAACCAGAAAAGCAGAACCTAAATTTTTTAAGATAGACTAGTCTGATTATAGTTCTCTATTAAAACTTCAGACGATACTTTTATCTGATCCCTGAACTATATCTTAATGAAGCATTACTATAATCTCTCTAGAAAGTCAAAGAGATACGATCAAGAAGACGGCTTGCACTATTCAGATGAAGACGAGCATGATGAAGAGGAGTTATCCAATATTAGAAATGCAGTTAAAAGAGGTGAGAAAGCTAAGAATAAGTAAGAGCAGTTGGACAAATCTGCCATTTTGCAGAATCATAATTGAAATAACCTGAATTAGAACTAATTTTAGGGGTTTTGGGGTTTTGGGGTTTTGGGGTTTTGGGG